AATTCACCATTGCCAAAACCTCAAAGGAKTGTGTTAACAACCTCTGACAGCCCTGCTAGAGACAACCAGTATCACAACTTTTGAATTCCTGCTGGATTTTATCATATACATTTGATGTCTGAAATATGATAATTTAGTTTGACTCCTTCCATATGAAWCTGATTTTGTTGGTAAGATTTCCACAGAAGATTTCTCCAATAAAGCAGAAGGAGTCCTTTAAAATTACATGTTAAGTCTCTAGCAAGAGCTATAATAGAGAGAGAGGAAGAGAACTGATGCCTGACCAACCATGTATTTGGTTTCCCAGATTCACAGTTGGAGAGGAATTTCTACCCAGGATGAATCACACCTGCAATCTTACTCCCTCCCACCTGGTTTAGATGATATTTTGGATTTTGAGTTGATGCTAGGATKCGTTAATACTTTGGGGAATGTTGGGATGGGACAAATGTATTTTGCATGTGAGAAGGACATGAGCTTTGTGGACCCAAAGGGAGAACGGTAGAATTCTTTTTTTTTTTTTTTTGACAGTTCTAGCAAGCTAATGTGACAAGAAATCTTGTTTTCCATAACTCATTGAATTTTTTTCTCATTATGATGATGAGAAAGTTTTCATATGATGCAGTTCAAAATGTTACCAGAAGTCTCCTGTTATTGTTTTGATTTTCTATTGACAATAATATTAAGAAAATAGCTGATATTAGACTAGAGTCCTAGAATCCAGCACAATCACTAATATTGTAAAGAAAGCCTAAGTGAAACCCCTGAGCTCCCCTTGCTCTTTGTGCAATTTATCTATCTTGGAGATATAGGTGTTGTTTTAGGGTTACRGAATCTTTAAAGCAAAAGCTAAGGATAGGATGATGCTCATGATGATGGCAATGATAAGATACATGATAGTAACATGAGCCCACATCCATGAATTCATGTTTTGAGCTTGTGAACAGAATTTCTTTATTTTATCTATAAGGCTGAAAGATGAGGATGCAAGTAGCAAAATTCATATGTTACTGAAAAGAGAGTGGGCATTTTTAAACATGATTGTATTTACTCACTGGTAAGTATGTATTGGACTGTGTGCCAGACCCTGGTGAAGGCATTGAGGATACAGTGATTAGCAGAAGAAGAGCCATGGTTCTTCGGTTTTAGTAGTTTACAAGTAAGATATTAATAAATGTAAAATTTCAATTTCTGCTAAGCATTGCAAGTGAACAATTCAGGGCGTTATGAGTAAGTATAGAAAGGAGACCCAATTAAGATTAGTTGGTCAGAAATATTTCCCTGAGGAAAAGAGACTTATGGTGAATTTTTAATGAGTACAATGTGTTCAGGAAAGAAATGAGGAAAACAAGTTCCAGGCATGGTTGGTCAGGATGAAAATTCATGTGGTGAAAGATAGACTGGATATATATGGAAAGGGACAAGGAAGATAGTTCAAACCATAGAATGGTATAAAACAGGAAGCTTTAATCTATCGAGCAAAAAAAAAGTGACAAGACACAGTTTTTGTTTTTAAGTCATCATGTTTATTGCATGGAGGTGAGTTAAAGACACTCAGATGTGATTATAAGTTATGATAGCCCTGGCAATGGGCCCGATCTGCAAGCTGTCTTTGGAAGCTCAGTGCCACATGCTTGTAAAATAGCAGCAAAATAGGGCTATGTTGGAAGTCTGATGTGTGGTGTTTCTCCCTTCTTCCCTCCACGTTGCATACACTTTCAGATATTCTGTTTTAAAATGACCTAGCAGAAGTGTTTTTMCAGCCAGGAAAATGACCTCTTGATTCATTGCAGGCCTATTTGAAATGGCTTTT